GTGTGTGTGTGTGCGCGTGCCAAGCTGCAAGTTCAGTCAGCTTCTGATCCTCAAGCCCAAACACATCCCACCCGAGTTCATCGCAGCCAAACCGTTTGTCTGTTGTTGTTCTAGGGTTGCCCGAAGTATATTAAATACTTGAGAGCACCAGCCAAAAGCGTACCTCCCCATAGGCCCCTAAGTAGTNNGTTCCTTTTTATGGTTTATATATTTAGAATCCCTATAAGGCTATAAGGTACTTAATCCCAAAAAGGAACCACTTATGTAGGGGCCCATGGCTAAACCCTAAACCCTTAACCCCTAAACCCTAAACCCCTAAACCCGGTAATCCAAAAAATGAACCACTTAGAGGCCTATGGGTCGACTTGACTTGAAAAGTGATCCTCCATATACCCCTTATGAGACCCCAAATACCTCTTTTTTGGGACCATATCCCCCTAATTTGGGGGTACAAGGAGGGTCCTGGTTGACTTGAAAAGTCTTTCCCTAAACCCTAAACCCTAAACCCTATACCCTAAACCCTAAACCCTAAACCCTAAAAGTGGGGCCAGGCAACTGCACGGCAGCCCGGAGCGCCCCGGGCTTCGTTGGCGATGATGTCAGTCCTTCTCCACGGGGCTTGGGGTTTAGGGTTTAGGGTGTAGGGTTTGGGGGCTTTTTGGGATTTGGGACGTTCCGAAGATAAGGGGTACCTTATGTTGGGGTCCTTGTAATAAGGATCCTACTATTTAGCGGTACTATATTAGGGTCCCCTATTTTCGGAAACCCCCACTTAGGAATTGGGGGAATAAGCAAACTTCTTCGCATCACAGCTACCCATAGGCCCCTAAGTAGTTCCTTTTTGCGGTTCATATTTAGAATCCTATCAGGTAATCCCCAAAAAGGAACTACTTAGGGGCCTATGGGTAGTCTATTAGGTACACTTTCTGACGTCGGCGATGTTTGCCGAAGGGGGGAAGGCTGCAACCGAAGAGCTCAAGCCTTTAACCTGGAGCCATTGCCTGAAAAGTGCACGAAAACTCGCCAAAGTTCAACACCCAAAGCCTTCTACCGTATACCCATAGGCTCCTTAGTAGTTCCTTTTGGGGGATAACCTTATAGGATTCTATATATATATATATAAACCACAAACAGGAACTACTTAGGAGCCTATGGGTAGCCAATGGCCATATGTAAGGACGCGGCGAACTCCTTCTATCCGACCACTTACATCCGAGGCTCCTCGTCCGGCAGAGCTCGAAGAGCGCCTGCGGGTAATAGACTTCACAAGTTTAGGGGGCATACCCATAGGCCCCTAAGTAGTTCCTTTTTGCGATTACCTTATAGGATTCTAAAGATAAACCATAAACAGGAACTACTTAGGGGCCTATGCATAGAGAGCTTCGGGGCTTTCGAGGTTTGGGGTGCAGGGGTTTAGCCACCATGGAGTTTCACGAAGGGACTGGGCGAGGTCCCGGATCCCTCTGGACACCAGATGCTACGTAAAACCACTACCCATAGGCCCCTATGTAATTCCTTTTTGGGATTGCCTTATAGGATTCTATATACAAACCCATAAAAAGGAACTAGTCAGGGAACCTCTGGGTAGGGCCAAACCTCCGAAACGAATGCAGCAGTACACCATGTCATAACCTCTGTCCGTCCCCAGCAGGCCAGCATTGCCCCAAAAAAACCCCGTGCCTTCTTAAAACCAAGGGCTCGAAACTTTGAATGCTGCATTCCTACAGCCCCAGAATTTAGGAGTTTCAGAAAATAAGGAACCCAAGTAAACAAGAATCCCTGAACAACAAGATCCTTCTTTCGAGGACCCCCTAAGTGAGACATAGATCCCGCCCCCAGATGCTACAGTACTCATTGCAACAGACTTTCGCCATATCTAACTACCCCCAAACCCTACCAGAAACCCTAAACCCTAAACCCCCAAACTGTATTCTACATGCTCTGGAGAAAGAAGCCTGAAAGGAACCCAACTCTTATAAGGCCCCTATACGAAACCCTCAACCCTACACCCTAAGCCCTAAACCCTACACCTTCAACCCTATAAGCCCTAAGCCCTAAACCCTAAAACGCTAAGCCCTAACCCTAAAACAATAAGCCCTAACCCCTAAACCCTAAAAACCCTAAGCCCTATAACCCTAAGCCCATAAGGGCCCCTATATGTTGCACCGAAAAAAGCGAAAAGAGCGCCCCCTTAATTAAGGAATATACCTTAAATCATAATATTAAGGGCCCTATACTTGAAGCTATATTCCTTTTTCCCTAAACCCTAAACCCTAAAACCCTGAACCCTAAACCGTGTATTGGGCTCTCTGGGAAAAGGCGGAGCAACCGCGCCGGCCTTCAGAGCATTGGCCCGGAGAGAGTCTCGGCCTCGCGGCCCCAAAAAAGGCCCGGCGGTGGAGTCGTCAGTTCCGATTTTTAAGGCCGTTTAGGGCTTAGGGTTTAGGGTTTAGGGCTTTAGGGTTTAGGGCTTACGGCTTAGGGCTTAGGGTTTTTTTGTTTATCACCTCTTTTCCTTTCCGCATTTGGTCGGGAAAGGGTTTAGGGTTCAGGGTTGAATCGTAGGTAGCGATATAAATTTAAGGGTGTGATGTAGGGCCCTTGCCTTAAGAATTAGACTAGGGTCCCTTTGAAGGGATCCTCGAAAGGTTCTACAGGGGATCTATAATCGTGTTCTATAGTAGGGGCCTCAATAATTTGAATAGGGTTTCGGGGCCCATGATACTATAACTATAATACGGAGCCCTCCAAATATAGGTAAAATTAAAAAAGGCCCCTATAGTAGGGGTTTGGGGTTGAGGGGCCTGAGGGCAGTCGCAAAAAGTCGCGGGGATTACGGAAGCGGGGGCGTGTTGGGCAAAGTTTTTTGGGAAGTTCGGGGGTTTGAGGGTCTAAACCCTAGACCCTAAACGCAAAACCCTAAACCTAAACCCTAAACCCTAAAACTCTGAATCCCTAAACCCTAAAACCCTAAACCCAAAGGTTTTGGGAGGTCGGGCTGCAGCCTCGAAAGCCTTTCCATGCTTCCGTGGTTGAAACTCCGGGAGGCAGCATCTCTGGATTCGATCACAGCAGCAGGCAAATCCTGGCCCTAAACGCTTTAATAATCCCAAAGCCCTTTAAACCCTAAACCCAAAGCCCTATAAACTACTATAAACCTTAAACCCTAAACAAAGAACTCCAGAAAGCACATGCTTTGACCCTTAATCCCAATCGTACAAACCTCCGCAGCGCTGCCTGGGACGTCCGAAAGCTCTGCCAACAGCTCCAGCAGCCGACCGGCACCGGAGAGAAGCACCTGAGCAGATTGGCTCAGGTGGGTACTGCTAAGGAGGCATCTTGTATCATAATTACGCAGGGTGAGTGTCAGGGCATATAGCCCTTCAGCATAGCTGTCGTGAAGGATCTGTTTCACGGCTTGGGCAAGGTTTCAAGAGCTGTTCAGAACTGGCGAGGAGTCTGCTTTCTGATGCAGCTATGCCCTGGTAAGACACTTAGGCTAAGAAAAAGTGTTCCGCGTCGGTTCAACCCCGAATACCAAGACAGAATCCTCGGATCAAGAGCACAATCAACCCCGAAGCACCAAGCAGGTGAACGGCCAAGTGGGACGCTCAGCTTCACCATACAGAACACAGCCACGAACGCCCGACTGAGCCAACCCAGAACTGGAACTTCAATACCCCCCAAAACAATAAATCTGCACAGCCCCCACTGAACCTTAACAGCCCTCCCAAGCCCAACTTCGCTGCCACTGCTGCTGCTGCTGCTGCTGCCACCACCACCGCCGCGACGACTAGCTACTACGACGACGACAGCAACGACGACGACTACTACTTATACTACCACTACTACCACCACCACCACCACCACCACCACCACCCCCACCGCCGCCACCGCCACTACCACTACCACTACCTCTACTACTACCACTACGACTACGAGTACGACTACGACTACGACTACGACGACGACGACTACTACTACCACCACCACCACCACCGACTACTACTGCTGCTAGTACTACTACTACTACTACTACTACTACTACGACGACGACCACTACAACTACGAGTACTGCACCGACGACGGCGGCCACTACTAGAACGACGACAACAAGTACGGCTACTACAGCTGCCACGACCACCACCACTGTTGCTGCTATTTCTGCTACTGCTGCTACGAATACTACCACTAAAACTACTACTACCATAGAAGCCTACCTCAGAGCAAAGCCAAGAAGCCAGGGAGGCACAGGAGCACTCGAACAGTTCCGGCATCCTCCCAGGGCAAACCGAACCGCCGACTTCTGGGCCCAAGGCTTTGAAGCCGAATCACAAAAGCAAACATGTGTATGTGACTCTATGTATGTCTGCATGTTTGTTTGCCTGCTTGTCTGCTTTCCGGTTTGTGTGTGTGTGTGTTGGTTTGTTTGTTTGTTTGTTTGTTTGCGCGTCCGTATGCAGGCACGTACGTAAGTAGGTGTGTAAGTACGTACGTTGCACGTTAAGCCGTTAAGCTTTTCTGGTTCTCTTCTGTACAGACGATAAGAGACCCCAGAGCTGAAAAGTTCAATATCGAATCCAATGCAGCAGCTTGTGTAAACCTGGCTGACGTCCTGGCAGCTGAAACGACAATCGATGGCTGTGTCGCTAACAAACTTTCTTTCTTTCCGAAACTATTGGCTGCCCAATGTTATGATAACTAAGAGCTTTCATCATGTCTGCTTCGCCCTCCAGACATTGCACAATTGTGTGCACCTGGGTGCTGACTTTCTTTGTGGACCCTTTTCGATACCCACAACTTACATCATACGAGTTCACTGCTGCCACATACCAGAACAACCCCGAAGGCTTGATGTTGGTACGACTTTCTCGGCTTCTTTGCAGCCTGGAGATGTCTTCGTAGCGTGCGAAGTAGCCGATGGACTTCTCGAGCCTCCGGTTGATCTCGCCCTGCCAGGAATTTGACGAATCTGTCAAGTGGGATTTTGATAGAGACGACTGTCATCCCATCTCGGATGACATGAGATTTCGCTTCGTTTCCAGTCTTGCTGCCTCAGGTTGCTTTGGGACCCTCACCTGCCTGCTTTGGGCTGGCTGCGTCTCGCCCGGCTTGTCACACCCCCAACAGCTCTCAAGGGCGTGCAAAGTCGCCAAGCCCTTGCGTAACCCACTGCTACTACTTTGCTGTGATCAATCCTTTAAGTATGCGGTTGATCAAGCCTCTGATGCCAAACCGTCTTCGCTGCATTGCAACAGGCCGATTTGACAGCACAGCTATGCCCATTTGCTAACGCTCTTTTGGGAACACTGCAGCCTGACTTCTGCGCAATGCACGCAGTCGCGTTCCACGAGAAGAACCTCGCACTCAGTCTCTGCGGTGCTGAGGCAGAGCCCTGCACTCTTTTCAGAGACAGGTGCGGCTTCCTACATTCGATCGTGGACGTATGGTCAGGGAAAATCGCATTCTCTCGGTGAAGACTCTGCAACACATGCCCTAATTCAAACTATTCAGCCGGGCCCCAGGAAACACGTCGACACCCACATGCCGAATTTCGTGCGAAACGATATGATCCTGTGCCTGCTTCTTCATGTATGTATATATATATATATGTCTGTATGTAGGTCTGTCTTTCTGCCTGGCTGTCTGTCTGTCTCTGTATGTATATATGTGTAACCATACAACATTTATGTTACTTCCGTATCTGTATACCTAGTATGTATGTCTGTCTGTATGTATGTATATATATATATGTATATATATATACACATGTAGATAGGTTGCACATACGTCCATATCTGGGGATATGCATATGTATGTGTACACACACACGCGCACACACACACACACAAACACAAACACACAGACACACACACACACACGCGCGATCCATCCACACAGACTAACAGACAGACAGACAGCCAGCCAACCAGCCAGCCAGGCAGGCATGTTACGTTCCTACAGACAGACAGAAAGAAAGACAGACAGACAGATAGACAGACCGCAAGCAGACAGACAGAGAGACAGACAGACAGACAGACATCCATACAAACGGACAGGACAGACAGACATTAACTACGTGCAGACATCCATCCATGCATGCACGCCAACAACATGTACAGATATACAACAGACAGACGGACGGACGGACAGACAGACAGACAGACAGCATATGTACGTATGTATGTATGTATGTATGTTATGTATGTATGTATGTATGTATGTATGTATGTATGTATGTATGTAGGTACGCATGCATGCATGCAAACACAAGCACGCAGGACTGCATGTACGCGTGTGTGTACATATCTTGGATGCCTGGCTGAAGCCTTTTGATACACAGCGATGAGCCTCAACAATGCAAGAACTAATAATGTCAGTGCATGAGAATATGAACTTGCAAACACGATGATCTCGCCCTACTCACAGCAGCCCTTACACGAAGAAACCCCTCTTCTCAATTGACAAGCTTCATCTGGCCGCTCTTCACTGCATGATCTCAATGGCTCCGGTTTTGTTCGGGCTTGAATCCATATAATATAGGAGACGGAACACATATCCGTTGTAGGTTTTCATCTCGGGGAGCTGATGTCGCCGAGCATACTTGATCATGGCACGAAAGACATCTCTGCAGGCTGCCTTCGTGTCGAGCAAGAAACCCTCCTTGCAGAGGCGTTGCCGTATTGCCACATCCCTACGGGGAAGTCTCCACTGGCCATCGGTCAAGTGCGAGAGAAAAGCATGCCGAAGCTTGTCCTCAACCTCTGCAGCTGTGTCTGTTCCGGTGGGAAGCGAATCCAGCTGCTTCCGCAGTTTTTGTTTGTGGGCCGGGGCATTCACGAACACAAGCATGGCTTCCTGTAGGTCTGTGTTCATGTCGTCGTCCATGTACCCCAGCCTTCTCAGAGCTTCGTGTACAAGATTTGTCGAGTCGTTGAGCATGAAAGGGCCATCTCCCCCGAAGAGAGCCTTTGCAAGGCCTGTGCCGAATTTGCTCATTTGCGTCTTGCTGGTCAGCCTTCGATCAGTCGGAGATTTGGGTAGGAAAAATGCCATATTGTCGGAATACCTCCGCCATGGTTTACTACTACTCCCACGCATTTGATCCAAGACTTGGGTGATGCCGATTTGCAAAGGAAAAACAGTTATTGAGCCCAACTCGTTCGTGAGCCAGAACTTAGTTGTGGAGTGAACCAGAGATTCGAATTCCCTGTCGCCAGCGGTTGCAGAGACATAGCCCAGGTCACCCAACATATTTTTGCAAGCTTCGACACTGTCAGTATTGGTCTGGAGGCGCCATTCGTCACCCAGCTGCACATGCCCGTTGCCATCTGCACGCAAAATCGCGCGTACTTTCGGAAACACGGATACGCGAGGGTGTAGTACTTCGACCTCCACCCCCAGACGCCGATAGCGCTCGATGACTCCAGGCCTCTTTGATGGAACGAAGACTATGACCCGCGTGCCGGTGTCCGTTGCGTCTGTAATGGCCTCTGAAAAACCGTTGTCGCACGTCATGAGCGCCAGGCTTTGATCTTTGACGCGAGTCCGGATTGCTCTGTCTATCACATCATCATTAGCTTCTCCAACCCGGCTTGGATTGCGATCAACTGGGTGGAACGTGATCTTGCGATCTTGGAAGAACTGGCTCCACTTCTTATTATTGATGCGACGAGGCTCCGCGAAAACGGTTGTGTAGACTACTTTGCCGGTCTCCTCCAGTCTGTTGATGACGTCCTTGATTTCTTCAACACTGTGGTTATCTGCATCCACAAGAAGCTTCACAGCTCCTGAGACGCAGCCCGGCGATGCCTCACACATGCATCTGCAGCGTCTGCCACGAAATGCTTTGCGCGATACGGATGCAAGGACCTTGGCGACGCAGGAAGAAAACCCCATACAGGCAGTACATATATATATATATATGTGTGTGTGTGTATTTATATGTATGTATATATATATACATATGTGTGTATATATATATACCTATCTAACCTATCTACCTATCTACCTATCTATCATATCTTATCTTGTATTATCTTATCTTATCTATCTATATATATATACACACATACGTATATATATATATATATACATATATATATATATGTATGTATATGCAAAAACAAGGCAGTTCTGAAGACAAACTAGCCATGCGGCGGCAGAGCTGCCAGGGAGAAGTGATCCACCCCCTGGACTCTCCCGACCGAGCTGCCACCCTCCACCGGACGACCGCGCACCCCGAATCTGCGTGGAAGGTGGGCCGACGCTAGAGATCCCTGTTTGCGGAAGCTGCCACACATCAAGCATGTTCAAGGCTTTAATGCAAAATGAGGGAGGCCCAGGCGTGATGACCATGCTTGTGTCTGTCATCCATGCAAACGAAGGACTTTGCAGTACATTCATGTGTCGGAGCGAAAATTTGTAAGCATCGCTGCGTTACAACAACTGTAGATGCTGTCTCGGCCGCGGCGGCTAAAGCGATCACATCAAGATCACTCCTTGCCAAGCTTGTTCCGCTCCAGCGCTTTACACCCGAGAAGCCCCCACCTGCCGCAAGTGGTTGGCGACGAGCTGCTGCCTTGAGGTTTTTGGCTGCTGGCATTTATCGGCCACAGTGACACTTGCACCACCTTTCACGCCTTACGAACCGAGCTTAGGATCATTGGGTGGTATACGGCTCGCAGCTACCGTCTTCGTTCATCGTTTCTTGTTGCAGCTTTGATGAGCTGTAATCGTGACACGGATCGACATTTCTAGCCTTGGATTCAGGTGCGGCAGACAAAGCTTGCAATACAAACAGCCTCGACGGCGGCTGGTAGACGGTAGGACCATGACAGGGCATAGCCTGGACCTGTTTCAGACCTGCTCCGGGGTCTGTCTGAGTGATTTGAAAGCAGCATAAAAGTGGACTTGTTTAGCAGAAGAGCCTAGATTCAAGTTGGAGTCAGAATCACAGGTGTCCTTCCCGAACAGGTCGGTTTGATATTGCACAGGCCATCCCCTCACGGAAACCTTGACCCTGAAATACCGTCCCCAAAAACTCCCTAAACTCCTAAGCCCTAAACCAAGAACCCTAAACCCTAAACCGTAAACCTTCAGATGTCTTGGCCAGGACAGGATGCGCTTGGAATTCTTTCGGCACCTCCGGCAGTGCAGGTCTTTCAGAATACACGACCAATAGTCGACCAGTTAGCTAGCATAGAGATATAATATAAATCATCTGATATAACATACTTGATTAACTTAATGTACAGTAGTATATAGTAAGTTAGTGTTATATACGAGCCTCAAGACCACTGCTGGCACCCTCACAAATCATCGCCTCATCGATTTTTGTCTTGATTGTAGGCAAGACTCTGGCAGGGGCCTAATGCTTGCGCCGCGCCGTTGACATTCATATTCGTCATATTCTAAAATCGTACCCAGGTTCTGCAGCATTAAATCGTAAGGCTCCAAGGCCAGATCCGAAAGTTGCCATCAATCGGTCTCTGAGTCTCGTAACTCCAACTGCGCAAACCCCAACCTGAAATAACAAGAACCCAGAGAGCCCAATACCCCCTTAATTCCTTAATTAAGGGGTAAGGCTGCGGGTAAAGACCTGCACTACACCAACAGCAACCGACCCCTCTAGCACACGAAAGCCATCAGAGCCATCCTAATTCCATGCCAGCTTCTTCTTCTCCGACCCTAAAGGTCCAAAGGACCCAATAATCGGGTACTTTGGTTACGGAGAGTAGTAATCTAGCTATGATTATTAGGCACTTGGACCCTTAGGGTGACTGTTTCGAGGTGAAGAACCCATAAAGAGCCCTTATAGTACCATTATAGAAACCCTAGAGGAACCCTCATAGATCCCTTTAAGGAACCCTAAGAGGGACCAAGACTGAGGCTTCCGATTCTTCCGGGCTTTGGATCGAAGCTTCTGGTGCCCCTCTCAAAGCCCCTCCAAGCACACATACACACACACACACACTTACTTACACTTTCTCACTCTACAATTGGGGGTACCCATAGGCCCCTAAGCAGTCCATTTGTTGGGATTACCTTATAGGACTCTAAATATGAACCACAAAAAGGAACTACTTAGGGGCCTATGGGTAGTTCTCTAAATTAGGGTCCCTTTTTGAGGTCCTTTTTTTTTAAGGACTATCTTGGGGACCCAAAAAGGGGACCCCAATTTAGAGAACGACCCATTGGGATATCTTCCGACTCTGGGGTTTGCAGTTTCGGGCCTACCCATAGGCCCCTAAGTAGTTCGTTTTGGGGGATTACCTTATAGGATTTTAAATATAAACCAGGAACTACTTTAGTTCGTTTTTGGGATTACCTTATAGGATTCTAAATATAAACCAGGAAAGGGAACTACTTAGGGGCCTATGGGTAGGGCGTTGCGCAGCCTCCGGGCTGTTCGATGGGCAGCGGGGCTCTAGCAGCGCACGCATGAGGAAACCTGGTAGAGGGAGGGCTTAGGGTTAGGGATAGGGTTTAGGGTCTGTGGGTGTGATGGAATTTAAGGGGGAGGGGGGTTGCATTGAAATCTCACATTGAATCATGTTTCCGGCCGGTTTGAAGCACAAGCTACGTCCTCGTGTTGGACCCTGTGCAAACTTTGGCTTCTGCCTCCTCAAGTATGCTCGCTTATATGCAGTCTATATATTAGAGGGCATTTCCACGACTTTTTCGGAGTGTTTGCAGAACTTCGAAAGTGGCAAGTGTGTCTGAGGCATCCGCTTGCAAATCTTGTCTGTGTAATTAAAGGGCCCGATCAGAAACTTAACGATGCTGTTGAGCCTTGCCGGTGTCTTTAGTTCACTCCTAACCATTCAAGCTTGCAGCATGAATCCTCAACACACAGGTATTTGGGCGTCGTTGTAGCTTAGAGTAACTCTCAGCATACCGGTTGAACTATCCCAAATCTAATTGAGCACGGGACCCTCGCTTTAGGAGCAACCCCAATGCGTTGCGTGCTCATCCCCGGTGACCCCAATGCAGCGGAGTTGCAAACATCACGGACGACGCCCTGGTGCTGGTAGTGACCTTAGGGGTTTTCCAAAAGAAGCGGATCCCCGGGTTGCGTTCTGCGTTGCTTGGCTGTGCAGGTCCTGGCCTTCAGGGTCTTAGGGGAGGCTCCCCAGAGAGCCCAATACCCCCTAAGTAAGGAATATACCCCTTAAATTCTAGGGGCCTTCATAGTATGATTATAAGTCTATATTCCTGAATTAAGCGGTATTGGGCTCTCTGGGTCCGGGGAGCCACTGCAGTCCTCAAGCCAGAGCTCCTTTCGAGGAAGGCCCCGGCCATCGTAGGCGGCCTGCATCACACTCACCACGCTGACGATGCACTCCTGCACCATGGACTGCAACTCCAGGGGCGGTCTATCTTTTCGGCTTTTGGGACTTTATGGCTTGGGTCTTTAAGGCCAATACGATTCGGAACCCGAAAACCAGCAGGCCCCAGGGGCTACGAGCCCCCCAGACCCTATGAAGTCCCCAGATAGCCCAATACCCCTGATATAAGGATAGACCTTACATTACAGGGGCCTTAATAATATGATTTAAGCGATATTCCGGGGTATCGGGCTCTCTGGGTCCAAAGCTTGAAAAAACCAATCTGTGGACGAACTAAGTGTCAGTGTAGGCCCCTAATTTGGACCAGAAAAGGCAGATCTCAACGGCTCATGCAGAACCCAAGTGAAGTGGCATGTGTGTTTCGTAACCTGCAAGTGTTATGCGTTGAAGTCACTTCTGGTGCATCATGCTTTGGATTTCTGGGCTCTGATGGTCCAGCGTTTCTTACCGGCTACTAGGACAATGGCCTTTGTGTGCCCCTGCCCCTGAACTCAAACCCCCGCTGATGCACTGCACTGAACGGACAAAGTAATCAGATCTACCTCCAGACCGCTCTAAGAAGGTCATCGGGGATGATGCTCCTGGCCCAAGTCCCCCAGGTGTTGCACAAGGCGCAGAAGCAACACCTGGGCCGCAGGAGAGGCATTGTTAGGAGCACACATCAGAGTTTCTTTCTCCGGGGTTATGAGTTCTGGCGTTTTTTGAATTTTAAAACAAAAATGTCTCTAATTAGATTCCTTTAATCCCAAACCCAACACCCCAAAATCTTCGTCCTCAACTCTGTGGCCCTTTGCCGAAGTGGCGGGCCGCTCCTTCTGTTCGGGGACCTCTGAGGGCGTAGAGTGCTGAAAGCCATCGGCACCCAAAACCTCCCACCAACTGAACTCGCACACACAAAACCTACACCCGAGCTATAGAATCTCTGCATCTCAAACACCAATCGGTGCCTATGCTCCTGCTCAACAACCTACAAAGTCCTGACCATCTTTGGTTCACCTGCACCAGCAGGGAGACGAAAGACCTGAAATGAGTTTCAATGCCCAAGAGTCTGCTGGCAAGACCCAGCGCTCCCAATCAACTGTGCCAGCTACCAGCTACCAGTACTTAGTTGCTGGGTTCATAAGCACCAAAAAAGGGTACACTTTCAGTTCTATCAGGGGTCATATTATCCTAAAAGTTTAAAGTGTACGTAGTAACTCAGCTACTAAGATTATATTCATGAAGTTGGCGCCTCCCATCTTGGACTTGACATAAAAACGACTGCTGATTCTGCAGTGGCCCTTCCTGCGCTTTTGTTTCGTTCCGGCTTTGTCCGGCCAAGAGGCGAGAACGTGGCATCCGCGGCTTTGGATGATGGCATCCTGCCCAGAGAACCCAACTTACCCCTTATTAAGGAATATATACACTAAATCATAATAATAAGGCCCCTATACTATAATTTAAGGTCTATATCTTCGAAATAATAAGGCCCCTATAATTTAAGGTAGATTCCTTGATTAAGGTGTAAGTTGGGCTCTCTGGGTGGCTGCAAACCAAACTCCCCCGACCCCGAGCAGCGACTCGAGCTTTGGAGGCGCCTTGGCACCTGAGGAGCTCTGGGAGAGGTGCCTTTTGAGGAGTAAACTTCGGAGGATGCTCACTAAAACGAGTATAAGAAGAAGAAGTTGAAAATAGGAATAGGAATAGGAATAATCAGCAACAGTAAGAATCAATAACCCGGAATTTGCGCAAGTCCCAATGGTGCACATGAAGCTTTACATCTCTGAAATCCCTGCACCCCTGCGAGCTGCTTCAGCCTCAAGACCTAAAACTCGCAGACGAAAAGCCAAAACCCGGAGCGCCTCCGCGTGAGTTGCCATGCCCCGCGCGACGATGTCCAAGAGCCCTGGCTTCGGCGGATGCTGGTCTTGGCTAGCTGGGTCTCTTGGGACTTGATACGGGAGCCTTACACTATCAGCATAAGAAGTAAAGGGGATTCTTCTTCAGAGCAAAAATCACTCCGATCACTCAATTACAATGACAAGATTTGGGGGTTGGGGGATTGGGAGCCTGGAGGATCTAAGGCAGGTTAGACGATTAGAAGCTTGCGGTCTTGGGGACGATGTTGTTCGTCGCGCCCCATACTGGCAGCAGCGAAGAAACCAGAACAAGAGACAACACACGACCCCGAGCTTCAGATTCGATGCCCTGCGACTTCATGTTCGGAAAAGTATTGTTATTGTTATTGCTATTGTTACTGTTACTATTACTATTATTACTATCATTATTATTATTAATATTATCACGAATATTTTCATTATTACTAATATTAAGGCCCGCGGCCTGGGGTGGCTTGCCAAAGGCCCCAGCGAGGGCTCAAGCCCTGGTTTGCCTGGCGTGTCCTCCCGGGAGAAGGAGTTCACATGGTCCGTCAGCAGCCACTCGCATTCCTCGGTTCCAGAGAGCCCATGAGACCCATTAAATAAGGGAGTTATACCTTGAACTATAGGGTAAGGGAGTTGCACCTCAAACTATAGGGGCCTTAATAATATGATTTAAGGTCCATATTCCTCAATTAAGGGGCATTGGGCTCTCTGGGTTCGTGATTGTCATGCGACAGCTTTGGCGATCACCAAAGGTTCCGGCGCAAAACTGGATCTCACAACCAAGTTGAAGACGTCACGACTCAGGACGAGGCGACGTCATCGTCGAGGATGTCGATGATTGCCTCGGCGCGTCGTCAGGAAAGGTGTAGTACGGCAAACCGTGGTGACACCAACCGGGTCAAGGTTGGAGCCAGTCGAGATCGTGATTCCGTCTAGCGACGAACCTTTCCCAAACAAGCATCTCCTGCAAAGGCATCCAGGCCGATCGGAACTCGATCTGCAGCGATCGGGGAATCAGGGGAGCCCCAAGAAGTAGACTTTAGGGAGGCTTGTGGATTCCGAAAATAGGGGACCCTAATATAGTACCCTAAATATTAGGATCCTTATTCTCAGGACCCCAAGGTAACCCCTTATTGTCGGAAACTCCCAAAGATTGCCAACGAAGTGCACAGAAGGCGGCATCCACCACGGACGCTTCCTTGCCGTGCATCTGCAGCTCCTGGCAGAATCTCCGAGTAGGGTTTAGGGTTCAGGGTTTAGGGTCTTCCAGCCTTATACTCTGTCCCATTACTACACGCCTTGATCCCGAATCCCTTAAGCCGACAGAAACTGGACGCTTGGTGAAAAGCTCTTGAAACAGCCTCAGGGCCCCGAACAAGACTGCTGAACCTTCCCCCCGCGCCCCCCATAGGGGCAGATCCTGGATGACAAAAGGCATCCCGGAGAGCGCGGCCAGGAACCAGACGCAATACCTTGGGCGACAGAAGGGGCTCAGAGGGCGAGTGTCTCGGATTTTGGGCTTCGGAGGTTGGACTTCGATGATGGCCGGATCTGTGCCAGGCGGCTTCTCCATCCGCCGGTCCTGGAAGAGCTCTTGGATGCGTGCCTCAGCCAGATCTTGGTCTACCGGTCCCAAACCCTCGGTCCTCGTCGGAAGCCTTATACGACACTCCACTGTCCAAAGCATGAGGAACCCAGAGATGCCCAATACCCCCTTCATTGAGGAATGTATACCTTAAATCATACTATTCAGGCCCCTATAATTTAAGGTATATTCCTTATTTCAGGAGTATTGGGAAGACGAGACGGACTGGAGTGCAACGGGTCTCGACCTTCAAGCAGCGAAGCCTCAGGGCCTCAGACTTCCTACATGTTGGAACCTGATTTTTAGAAACCCTGGCTCTAGAAAACCCCGAAATATGATAAAGGGCTCATATGATAAGGTTCCTATTCCTCACCCTAAAATCTGCGAGAACCCCCAACATGGTAGGGCTCATATTATAAGAACCCTAGTAAAGGCCGTTAGGGTTTCTTAATCAGGCTCCTATTGTTTTTGCCTAATTGCTTCTCATCTTAAGAACCCTAATGCAGGCCGTATTAGGGCTTCTTAACTTAACCAGGTTCCTAGTATTAAGCCTAACATCTGCGAGCTCGGATCCTTCTTCTGGGCTGCCGGGCTGAAGTGGCATCTTTGGCCCTGAGCTTCAGCAGAACATCCCTGGGCCCAAGGGTCGGTTTAGGGCTTCGGGTTACCCTAAACCCTAAACCTTAAGGTTTCGGGTTTGGGGTCTTAGGGTTTTAGGGTTAAGGGTTTTAGGGCTTTAGGGTTTCGGGTTTAGGGTTTCGGGTTAAAGGTTTCGAATTTCGGGGTCTAGGGTTTAGGGTTTTCGGGTTTTAGGGTCTTTGGGTTTAGGGGTTTAGGGTTTCGGGTTTAGGGTTTCGGGTTTAGGGTTTTAGGGCTTACCCATAGGCCCCTAAGTAGCTCCTTTTGGGGATTACCTTCTAGGATTCTAAATATGAAACAGAAAAAGGAACTACTTAGGGGCCTATGGGTAGGGCTTAAGCAGAGAGCCCGCCCCGGCCCCTGGCACTCCTCCGGCGCGCGGGGCTTGGTTCGGAGGTTCAAAGAGGCCGAGACCCAGAGAGTCCCCCCCCAAAGAAACCCTTCACTAAGGAATATACAGACCTTAAACCCATATACTAATACTGTTATAAGGCCCCGATAACTTTAAGGTATACTTCCCTTACCCACAATTCCCCCCAAAGCAGAGCAGCCTAAACTTGCGGCCTCGAGAGCCCTCACAGTCTGAACCTAGAGGCCCACCTTGCAACCCCAAAGCCTAAATCTTTATAGACTCTATAAAACCCTAGGGCTTGGGGTCTAGGGCTTAGGGTTTAGGGGTCTAGGGTTTAGGGTCTAGGGCTTAGGGATTTAGGGGCTCAAGCATCTAGGGTTTAGGGCTTCGAGTTTAGGGGTATAGACGGTATAGACCCTAAACCCCAAACCCTCAACCAATCCGTCGCCTCCAGGCAGGCTGCGCTAAAGCGGCCTTTCCTCGGATCGCAGAGGTGCCGCGCTGCTGTTCCGAAAAGGGGGGCTTATAATTACAGGGGCCAACATTTCAGGGGTTTATAGGGGGCTACTCTAAGGGCTCTAATTATAGGCTCCCAAGTAGTTCCTGTTTGCGATTACCTTGTAGGACTCTAGATATAAACCACAAAAAGGAACTACTATGGGGCCCACGGGTACAGCTTTTTTCCATGCATCCACGCCACAAAAGGCCCTGAACCGAAGAAGTTTGTCCAAAATGCGAAGTTCGATGCAGCAGCAGCGACGGTCACGACACGAGTCATGCTCCCTCAGGTTGAAAACGCTGCATGATCCCCTCCAGCGAAGTCTCGACCACAATCATCCTAACAAAATCCCACAGAACCCAATATCGCTTAATTAAGGAATTTACCTTGAATCATAATAATCAGGCCCCTCTCATTTAAGGTTTTTTCCTTCATTAAGGTGTAGTGGGTTCTCTAGGAATTCACCAGCCGAGCGGCCCAGAGGGTCGATCACTCCCTCCAAGACCTGCCAGGGCGGGTTGCAAGCCGCAGGTCAACTCATTGGGTACTGCTTGATTCTTGATCTCACGCCCCCGGGCCCCTCCCTTCCTGTCAGCAGCATTCTAGGCTGTGAACCAGGGCCGAGGTCTCTTGGGTCTTTGAGTTTGGATTGGGAGAGGGGCCGGGGTGCTTCGGCCAGCGTGTTCTTACGCTTCGCATCTCAGCTCCCGATATGCTTCAATGGGTTCAAACGCTTTGGGTAAACGATTACTACGTAGTACTCATTACTGCTACTACGACGACGACAACGA